GGATTTGGGGTATGGGTCCAAGAGGCTTTTTTGTACGTCTCGGCACATTACACATGCCTACCGAGTTTCATACATATTGGCGAAACGTGGCGCCAGGGCTGCTTTTTGAAAATTCTGTAGGGGGGCGCTACAAACACGACAAACACGATTTTTGGTATGTGACCTACAAGCACCAGTCTACACGTGTCCCGTGAATTTCATATTCATAACTATTACGGTTTCCTCAGAGGGATTTACCCGCCCTAGTGGCATGATTTTTTTTCCTTTTTAGGGGAGCCTCAGGGAGCGATGGGCAAGCATCGTACCAAGTTTAGTTTTAATCACATTTGCCGATGCAGAGATATAAACTTCTTCATTTTAAACAGCGCCACCTTGTGGCGATGGCCTGAAATTGTGCACGATGTCTAATGAACACATGGGGAACTATTGACCCAAGGTTGGTGTCAATCGGACATACCAATGTGGAGAGATGCCCCACTTCCTTTTTTGACAAAAAATCAACAGGAAGTGCTAATTTATAATGTGCTTATTTTTTGAAATATCAAAATACTTTTTGCCAGGACGGTCTCCAGATGCTACGTGAAAAGTTTCATGCGAATCGGACAAATGCGCATGCATGGAACACTAAAACGTAGTTATTGGACATTTCGCGCTCTAGCGGAAAAAAAAATCTAGGCGGAAGTGGGCGTGGCCTATATGGGGAGATGCAGCTCTATTCACAGAACGCGTGGATATAAGGTTTTTGAATGTGAGACAAACGATGCTGGAGTCATTAGCCTAAACCTACTTTTCTTAATAGTAGCGCTACCTAGTGGCCGAGCCGAATGTCACGCATAGAATATCAAATTTTTTACCAGGCCTGACCACTAATTCCGCCAAATAAAATTCAATCGATGTATATGTTCAGGTGGTCAAAAATGCAGTGAAAGGGGCTAAGCGTAATAATAAACAGCAAAAACAATAGAGACCTCACAGTGTTTGACACTGGCTCGGTCCCTAATAATATATTGTTGTATTTTTTCTGGCAGACAGCTTGGCCCTGTTTGGTGGACTGGATAAAGTTACAAAACATCCAACACATCATTAAAGTGGTCTTTTAAGGCAACTGGATTATAAGAATCAGAAGAGTTGATAGAAGCATACAATTGTTTATCAGCTGCATAAAAATGAAACGGTATACCAAGGGGAAGCATGTAAAGTGAGGGCCCAGAACCAATCCTTGAGGTACACCACAAGAAGGTTTTGCAGATGAGGAAATTAAGTTCAACAGAAAAATGCCAGTCGGAATGATCTGAGCCACATATTTAATGTTAATGTAAAGACCTAAGATATGTCGCTACTCAAGAAGACATCATAGAGCTGTAAAAGTATCACTATTCTTCCAACAATCGCTGCAGTTTTAAATATACTAAATTTGCCTCCTTCCTAAAGCATTTCTCTTTCTCTTTCTCTCCAACACACATTTTACTCTCCATTGCTTTCCAGAAAAGGGATTCCTCAAACATCTTCACCCTTTGGGATAAAAGGTAAATGGATTGTCAGAAAAAAATAGAAGAACTCTTGTTGTTCCCCTAATAAATGTTTAACAATCAGAAAAAAAGTTCTGGTTACATAAAACATAAAAGGTGAGAGGTGGAAGTTGTTCTGGGTAAAACACAGATGTTAGCTTTAAGATACAGACCATCATTTCTAATCTGTCTCTCTCTAACGTCTCTTCCATACAACACCTGCAAATTTACATGAGAATCACCACCTCAGCTTGCAATATTCACATGAACCCATACTCAACTTTACCTTTTCAAAACGCCTCTTCATGTGCTGGATGATGTAATAAGCTGGCGAACTTCTTCATGCCAACTTCCTTTCAATCTCAGCCTAGCCTACAGTTTTTGTACAACTGAAATATGTTGAGAAATCAGTGGCGTCAATATATGAAGGAAAGCCATCGGTCTCTAGTCTGTTGTACAGTTTCATGAGGCTATGATTATCCTGGAGGTCACAATAGCTCATTTTATTCAAACAATGGTCTCACTACAATGAAATGGTTACTAGGGGAACAAACATCATCACACATGAATACAATTTGGCTCATTGGAGAGTCTAGCTTTCTAGTCGCATCCAATTTATGCAATTCCAATACTGTTTGAGGACCCTAGTATGCAGACATATACAAATGCACACCTACTGCATACAAAAAACTACATAGGATTAGCAGTTTGTAAGGGGGGCTCGTTGGAACCCATAGAACTAATTTTTTATTCAGACAGGGGTCAGAGGTCAAGGGACCACTTTAAAAATAGCCATGCCATTTTTGCCATTGCCAAAATTCAGCCTAACTTTGGACCATTATTGCAGAAACTAGGTAATTATCATCATTCTTGTTAAATAACTGGCATTATGACCGAAACCAACCTTAAACTGCGTTCAGGAGCTGCTCCTTGTCACCGGGACCAAAGTATCAGAGGATTGTTGCAACACAGACCTTTTCTCTTGTAACACACAAAGTGCTGCAAATGCTAATTGTACTAGCTGCTACCACTAGCTTGTTAGCGGCGCTATTAGCTGGGAGTGCTAGAACAAGCCAGACGAACCATATTTTGTCACAGATTTTCTGACTCATGTACAACTGTCAGGTTACGGTGAATATTTACGCAAATATGACAAAAAAATTATTTTTAGAAAAGTTACCTGTTAAAGGATTTTTTTCAATAATTGAATCAATATCATAAAAGTTCAATGACTAGTGGACTAGATCAATCTGGGGGCAGCCTTATTTTGCTTGAGGGTAACTTAAAGTATCTAGCTATACACTGAGGGAGGAAGATCAAGGGAGAGTAACGTAAAATGTTGAGAACAGTGACTGGTCCATCAACGAAAATCTGATTGGACTTTGGACTTTACTGTATATTAAACACACATAATGACAGAGAAGACTAGATAAAATACAGTTTAATTCAAATTCTCCAGACTGTATGCAAGAACCTGAGAGCCATAAAGCAGTTCTCAGTCAGGCTGATTGGACTTGAAAATATTTTCAAATCCTGTGGCAAAACCTTACATTAGAGACAATCTAATTCCCTACTTCAAGCCAAGTGAGAGCAGAGAACCATTAGTGGCATTGTGGAAATATACCTCAGGCTCTGCACTTAAACTCCTCTTATCTATCTTTTCTTTCATCTAGTTTCTTCACCTCCTCACAGAGTCAAATAAACTGTTCAGTTAACAACGAACAGAATCTGTTCTAATCAAACTGCTGAACAAGTTTTTATCTTCTGCTCCTTGAAGCATGATGTAGCAAAAAAGAGTGATTTATACAACTTTCCTCCCTCACTCCTCTTTTCTCCTCCTCCTTTCCCTTATCAATAATAAATCCTTTCTCTGGCCAGTTTAGCTCTGTGGTGGAGTCTAAAGGGGAGAGTGAGGGATCAGATTTCCACTGCATAGAGGAAGAGCAGGACGGACAGAGGGAGGAAATGGGTTTCTCCTGACCAGGTTCACCCTCAAGGGCAACAGGATCACTGTCCACATTTCCATTCTTCCTCTGACTTTTTCTGGGAGGTTTGTTCATACTAAAGATACAGTGTGAGGCAAAGGGCACAGGCGCATGCAGGTGTTGTAAAGACAACAGGTTGTTACTGTAGTTTGACAGCAGGGGGAGCTGCAGCAGAGACGCACAGCTCCTGATTGAGATATTTTAAAACACTCAATCATACTCAAGAATCCTAACTCAGTCAAATCTGAACACGCAACTTTGTTATTCAGTGTGACCAAGGAAAAAAGTTCAATATAAACCAATAATAATGTAATTTAATGAATAAACACGAAGCAAATCCCAAATGACTCGCAACATATATATATCCAGGTCAAACAAGGTCACTTCCTTTTCCTGCACTTGACCCGGCGGCATGCTCCGACACAACTCCAAACAAATCGTGTTTTCAACAAATTCTTGTTCAAATAAATCTTCTCTGGTCAATGGTGAGTGAATTCTTCCATCTTTTTTTATTGTAAACAGCTCCAGCTTGTATTAAGTGAAGTGTAAATCTTGTAACTTGCTCACATTACTCCAGCTAGCTTTGTGGGAGCCGCAATACAAAACTCCCATAGGAAAACAGCCAACTTAAGGCAGCTTGAGTTAAATGAGTTTAATAGTATATTGTGTTAACCTTTAGGGTTCTTTTGCTTACAGCCCTGCATGTATTTAGGTTATTATTGATTTTATTTATTGTGTTTAGCCGTTGTCTTCAATCTGAACTGTATATTAATGAGATTTTGAATCAGGTACAACATGAGATTTAGAAATTAAAGTTAATTATTCTTTGTGACCTTTTATAGGTCAGGTTTTTGTGTATCTGATGGTCCATGGACAACTGGATTTGTTTTAATGGTGAGCTACGAATGATACCCATGAACCTGGATCTCTGATGTCAACCCAGAAGAAATAAAAAATCTTGCCAGAGAATCGTCATGTCTTCAAGTTTTCTTCTGTAATTGATATTCAGACTCTGAAAGCTTAACACCCCATGTTCTTAAAACAGTATAACATTCATCTCTTATAAATATGCCATCCTACATTACGATTTTATGTAAATATTGCTTCTTCTCTTCTGTTAAACTGTTCAGCCAGTCAGCCTGAAAACTTTAAAATCCTTTTTTCTAAACTCCACTATTTATTTAGTTAGTGCTCATTGAGGACTGTCAGCCTGAACTTTTCTCTAAATAACTCTGTGTTTACTACTGTAGGATAGAGATGAGTTGGGGATTTATCTGCGTCAGCCTGCAAACTGACTAACTCTCAATCTTAAATTCCTCTCAAAGCCTCAACATGAGATTTTCTACTTCCCAAATCTGTCAAGACAAACATAAAACAGGCTGCAGTTACTGCTGTAGTTAGACAAATACACATTTCAGGATATGAGAAACTGCTGACTGAGCCGTAACACATGACACACAACACCTGTGACAATGTGACAGCAGCAGCAGGATGCAGTGGCACTTACCGCTGTGCTGGCTGCAGCCTGTTTGGATTCCTCTGTGAGAAACGCCAACATCAGCTCCACCTTCTGTTTTTCCTCCTCACTGATGTAGTCTGTGTCTGTTGGCAGGAAAACACACAGAGCCGTTAATATACAGCACTGAGGGAAGTCAACATTATTTCCACGATCGATTCATTTGCACATTTTTTTTAATATCCATTGTTTGATCTATAAAATGTTGGAAAATAATGAAAGACGTCCATCCCAGTATCTCAGAGTCTTGTATTGTAAGCTGTCCTGAGAAGTGTTTCTTCTTTTACAAGTAGCAGTATAACACAGCACACAGTCGTATTGTCAAAACAAATGTCTCACTATTATGAAAAATCTGACTAACAATGAGATCTCTATCTCTATATATTCAACATAGACAAGCCTAGCACATAGAATATCTAAGTATGTTCGTGCTTTTAAAGATGTTTCAGTTCATAAATGCTTTTTAAAGGTTAATGGTTACGTTTACAGTAGAGCACATAACACTGTGGAAACCTTACCATATTAACTCATTTAAACAAAACAATGAGAAACACAAAGTAAAACTACTACAAAGACGTTTAAACCAATAAGAAACGAATGCGTGATCCATATCTGGGAACCTAATAAGTGCTTCTGTAATCGTTACTGTAAGATGATCTGAGGGCTGATCCAGGACCAGTGTAAGACAGAGTCTAAAAATGACATCTGGGAAACACTCAGCTCCAATAACAGCTGAAGCACCAAACATAAACCACAAAGGTAAAAGGTGATGTTAAAAACTATGTCACTGCTATCCAATTACACAAAGCGATGCAAATAATCCAACAATCGTTATTTAGTATCTGATTCTGTTCAGAATAGCTTCCTAATAGTACACTGGGACCATTAAAGGACATTTTCAATACATTAACCAATGCTATTAAGGTGGTGAGTTACATTATTGAGCTGTTGGACTGCAAAAAATATTGTACAGCTATTTTTATTGATTTGTCAAAGGTATTTGACACAGTTGACCTCGACAGACTCTGTTGGCTTATCTAGGCATATTGTAAATTGGTTCCTAGCTGCACCAAAAAATAGGTTTTCTTTAGGAACCACAGTGCTCGTGATTTTACAGGCCGTTTTAGAGGCAGCGCTCTCTGTTGATGATGCATCCTTCAGGAACCAGAACTAATTTGGTGGAAAAACAAAAGGTGTGCCCCAGGGTTCACACTAGGACCACTGCTATTCAACATGCATGTAAATTATATTTTTGATAATTTACTAAATGCTGCATTCCATTTTTATGCAGATTATACAGTTATCTATTGCTCGCCTTCAGTAGTACAATCCCTCTTATGCTGGTGTTAAATGCAGACGAATCCAAATGCATGCACGATATGGTAAAAACACAATGTTGTGATTATTCTGATAGATATTGCGATATGATTCACAATTAGTGGGAATGATCATGTTTGCATCACAAATGTATTTTTACTGAAAAAACTATTAAAATCACGATGTCGAATGATGAATTTATTGGATGTCTGTACCAAACAAACACGTTGCAGCTGTTTGGCAGAGGGACGGAACACACCTTCAGTGCTACCATGAGTCCCTCCCTCTGCCTTTTAGCTCCGTACTGTCTAACTTTTATTCCTACTTTCTCCTCCTGTGCCAAGCTCTCAGACCAGGTACCAATATGTAGCTGCGATGAACAGGGCAGAGGGTAAAAAGTGGTCAGGACATAATGTGTTCATCAGTCATGTCCCCCAATTGCTGATTAACTAAGTGTAGAAAATGCCAGTCTGTCTGAAAGAGTCACCAAACTGATCTTTCCTCTAACTTTTTCCCTCCCTCTGCTCCATTTATTCATCTCCTTCATTCTTCCTCAACATTCACTCTCTCACTTGATGGCCTTCGATTTGTCTTTCCATTTTCTCCCCCTTTAACCTTCCCCCTCCCTCCCTCCCTCCTGCAATCAGACAGATCCTCTTTCAGTGTGCAGGAGTGGTAGCACCCCGGTCTGGGCTGTGATATTGGCTTGTTGGAGAGCTGCCATGTTGATCTGCAGTGAGAGATCACAATCACTACACATCATATTTGGAGGAATATGAAGGGGGAGACAAAGGGGGAGAGAGGTAGGCAAAAACAGAGAGAGAAAAAGACGTGTAGACGGATAAAACCAGACTAACAGTGAAAACTAAAAGCACATGTGGCAAGAAGCCACATAGCAGACAATAAATGACTCCCAATAACTTGTTACAGCTCTGTACAATGCATTGAAAAAGAGAGAGAGCGACTTTCAGTTGAAAGCCTGTCTGAATGTACAGAAATCTTCAGTTTGGTATTTTCCAGCGACAAACAAACATTAAGTTAAATCAGATCCTGAGATCCATGACAACTGAGCACAAAGTCAACGTAGGAATCTCTAACATAAAATCCCATTTGAACAAAAGGTGGCTCCAGAAATGCACCTCAAATCGGCATCATTGTATGTCATATATTTGTTAATTTTGTATAATTCAACTTTTATCATGATGGCTACTTCCTGCAACCTGTCCCCAAGTCACTTCCTGTAACTGTAACCTGGGAACTCGTGATGATGCGGTGACCAACCATAACAAAAACTACAGGTCATCCACTCTTTCCTCCCCGCCTTTACCAACAAGAAAAAGTTTCAGCACAACAGAAGAGCCTGCCTAACCAGAGATTCCTGGTTAGCACACAGCAAACAGGTGTGAATAAGCTTAAGTTAGTGTCCACGGCTGCAACAGTGCCTGCCAGCTGACAAGGAATGACAAAACATGTTAGCACCATGCTACTAACTGCTAACACTGAATGGAAACAATGCATGGAGTAACCCCGTCAAAGACTTTTAGACATTGGAACTACAATTCTCCCCAACCTGACTCATCAGATCGTACTTGGCATAATAGATAGCTTCACATAGTTTAACAGTGTTCACAGCTTTAACCCCAAATCTCTGCTACACTGCTAAGGTGATGTTAGTTAAACTCGACACAGAAAGGCCCCGGACTCAGAACCGTCTTTGCTGTGAGGCAACAATGTTACCCAGTGAGGGTAGCACTAACCCTAACCCATGACATGACATGCGCACCTTCACCTTCCCTTATTAATAAACCACAGACATTGTAAACCCCAACAAATGGTGTCCCATGTGAAGTATGTGTAGTTAATTCCAAATAGTAGACATATTTTATGGAGACTGAGAATTAAAGTTTTTTATTATTATTTTTGATTGGTTAGGTTCAGGAAAAGATTGTAACTGACGTTGACTTTTGGTTTCATGAGTGGGCCAACCTCAGGAGTCCAAGCAGAGAGGAAGCAGATAACAAACTGAAAGTACTGGTGTGAGTAAAAAGTCTGGGTTTTATTTAACCCTGTGACAGTAGTTTGCAGCAGAGAATCAGATCTACAGCAGACACGAAATAAGCATACACACAACAGGCCTTTGTTTTATTGGACCAGAACCCACTCAGCAGTGTATTAATCCAATAAAACTATTTCGGTTTCAATTTCATAAAGTGGATTTACTGAGGATGATTCCACTTCACAGCGACAGCTGAAGGCTTCAGTCTTTCTCTCTGAATAATCAGAGAACTCTTGTTTCTGAACATCACTGAGCCTCAGACACTCTCCATTAAAATAAACCAATTGAGTGAATATGTAGATCATGAGTGCAGCACAGAATTAAATGTATTATCCATTTGCTCAAGTTTGCAATAGTAGCAGAGTCGTCATGACTGAGTAAATACAGATATTTGTTTTTAATTGCTATTGTAGTCTAAATACCAACTGATACTAGAACAGAACTATCTGTTTATGGTATACTCTGCTAAATATGTGTTGGTATACAGTGAGGAAGGTAGGAGGAACACCTGAGCATTAATACTGTAAGGATATACCACAAGGATTTTAAAGTTGTTGTAGACTTATTTATCTTTGTCTGTATATCTGTCACTTTGACTGAAATATCTCAAGAACTATTAGATGGATTGTAATAACTTTATTGATCCTCTGACTTTTCAACCTTTTTTATTTATTTGTGACAGTTTTGTTTATTTTTTCATTGTAACTTTATACTATTTATCTTCATATATGGAGTCATTTCATTTATTTTTTTATCTTTATATTTAGCTGGTTTTGCATTTTCTTGTTTTATGGAAGAAACAGCAGAAAGGTTCTTAAATCACCAACATGATTTTAATTGTTAATTTGCACACACACTGCATGAAATCAATATAATAAAGTATAATATAATAAGACAAGAGGTTAAAAAGCAGAAGACCTCTCCTCCAAACCATACAGTCTAAACCCAAACTAAGATATCCACCTTAAACAGAACGACTCCTCTGACTAAATGACTAAAAGCAGAACTGGTCAACTGATGAAACTTAAAGAAAACACTGTTACACATAGGGCCCTATCTTGCCGATCTGAAACACAAGTATCAAACGCAAAACGTAAGTAGCTTTGTGGGCGGATCTCGGCGCTGTTGCTATTATGCCGGCGGGATAAATGACTCTTGCGCCCGGCGCAAATCTAAAATGGGTTGGTCTGAAGTAGCTACATTAGTCATAGGCGTGGTTTGGGCGTAACGTGCAATAAACCAATCAGAGCGTCATCTCACATTCCCTTTAAAAGCAGGCGCGCTTGTTCCATGGCGGATGGCTATTATAACGGCGGATTGGCCAGGCGCACGCCAGGAGCGGTTCACAGCCGAGGAGGCCGACGTTCTCGTCAGGGCTGTAAAATACCGAGAAGTGACATTATTGACATGAAATAAATGTAACACAGCCATACAATAAATCAAAACAATGTAACGCAGCTTCGCAGGAAGAAGCCCCTGGCCTCGGGAGTAGTGCGCACGGGCCGAGCAGTGCGCAAGGGCCAGCTGAGGAGGGAGCAGCACAAACACCAAGGAGCAGAGGATCCAGACCCACTACACGCCGGAGGACCACCCGTTCCTGCAGCAAACCGGGTTTGACATGCTGGAGCAGGAGCTGTCTGGGATGCGGCAAAGTATTAATGCCCGTCTTGACCGGGTGGCGATGTTGCTGCTGCCTCTCAGGCACATCCCCTC